TATACTAAGACGAAACGGTTGTCCATTTCTTCCATGTTTTCCATGGTGATCTAGCTTCAATTAGCACATGAAATCAACTATTAGATTACTACAATATCCAAAAAGCCCCTCTCTGATTAGAAATAGGTATTTGTTAAATAAAACGATTTTGGTCTTATTTCTTTTGCTCTAACAACAAATTTAGAGGACATGATCATATACATTAATAAAATAGTGATTGGTTTAAGTGTTATCGAAATATGTGCTCAATATGTCCGGAAGCACACTCTTTCGCCTAAATTCATAAAGATATAACATGGTGATAAAAAATTATCTCTGGTTGTAATCACGCTTGAAATTAAATCTAAACTACTGATAGCATGAGTACTAGAGCTCATTATTGTCGAAGAAATAATCCAATAGTTGAGTTCATCAGTCGATTGAAGCTAGACCACCATGAAAAACATGGAAGCAGTGGGCAACCGTTTTGTCCTAGTATGGGACTCCTCAACAATGCTCATCTACGATCCTACCTCGAGAGATTCGAAGCCAAGACCTATCGGTCTCGTGCCTGAGCGTTTGATCTCTGGACCACTGAACCGGCATCTGACCTTGCTGATATCTAACTTCAACCAATTCGCGAAATTGAGCCACCGTCCACCATTGTCTTCAGTGAGTTACCATCTTACAACAGACCCGGTTGAATTCCAATGGTCACGGACTCTCACTAGAACTCCAGGAAATACTTTTTGCAGACCGTCACTAGTGAGCATATGATCATATGCTCATAGGTTAAGTGTTCACGCGCGGTACCGATAGATCCTGGGTTCGAATCTCTTAAGGCGGGGTCATGGGTGCGCACTGCTGAGAAGTTCCATACTAGGACGAAACGGTCGTCCAGTGCTTCCTAGTTTCCATGGTGGTTTAGCCTCAATTAACTCATGAATTCAACTTATTTATAAATTTTGACCATACTTTCGTTATGTACCACGAATAATTGTCATTTTTAGTAAAATGGTTCAAAATCAGATTTCAATGGTATATATTACCTTTAATCTAAAATCCCCTATTTAAATCTTCAGTTGTTTTTTCACATTCCATACTCTTCATAATCGTTCCTTTCTATTTCTTTTGATATCATTTCTATTCTACCTCACATTGTGCTGATGTGTTGATTATAATTAAATCGATGAGAGTTTGTGTCAAGTTTTACATTATTTATCGCTGACTTATATAAACAAATTAATTTATTAAATTTATAATGGTTTGTCCTATATTGATAGATTCATTTTAAATAACAATTGAATCACTTATTAACTTGTTAAGATCTATATCTACGAAATGTGAATGAAAAAACCAATAGACATTCCGTTATGATGTAATGATAATATCACCCCTATTAACTTTAATATCATCAGAGACTTTTATTACTAAGGTAGGTTTTATATGAGTACAAACTATTTCTGAATCAAAAACAAACATGGTTTCAAATTTTGTATGACTGATCTGTTATTAAGGCTATGTACTAGTACTAATCACCTTTTAACGCCAACAATTCCGTATTATTAAATATATGACAAACAATAAAACTATTATCATGTAATTATTATCATTATTATGAAAACATTTTCTCGAAAATGTTTTCACCCTTTCTTTTTCTCGTGGCGATCAACTGGATCATGAAGACATCAACATCTGGAGGGAAGCATGGGATAAACTGGACAGCTAGGATGAAGCTGGACGATTTAGACTTCGCAGATGATCTGGCTCTTCTATCGCAAACACAACAACAAATGCAGGAGACGACTAGTGTAGTAGCAGCCTCAACAGCAGTAGATCTCAATATACACAAAGAGAAAAGCAAGATTCTCCGATACAGCACAACGTGCAACAATCGAATCACACTTGATGGAGACGATTTGAAAGATGTAAAAACATTTACATATCCGAGCAGCATCATTGATGAACACGGTGGATCTGATGCAGATGAGAACGCGCGGATCGGAAAAGCAACAGCAGCATATCTACAACTGAAGGATATTTGGGAATCAAAACAACTGTCTGTAAGCCAACATCAAGGTCAGAGTTTTCAATACAAATGTCAACACAGTTCTAGTGTATGGGATGGAAACTTGGAAAACTACGAAAGCCATCATCCAGAAGATACAACTGTTTATTAACAATTGTTTACGCAAAATACTTCGAATCCGTTGACCAGACACTATCAGGAACAACGTACTGTGGGAGCGTACAAACCAGATTCTAATGGAGGAATAAATCAGGAAGAAATGCTGGAATTGGATAGGACACACATTGAGGAAAGCACACAACTGCCTCACAAGACAAACCCTCACATGGAATGCTGAAGGCCAAACGAGAAGAGGAAGACCAAAGAACACATTGCTTTGAGAAATGGAGATAGACATGAGAAAAATGAATAAGAATTGGATGGAACTAGAAAAGAAGGCCCTGGACAGAGTGGGTTGGAGAATGGTGGTCGACAGCCTATGCTCCATTGGGAGTAACAGGAGTAAGTAAGTATTATGAAAACATTTGAGATCAGTTCACCTACTGATGTAAAACACTCGGAATGTATTTGTATTTTCAGTTATTTAATAACATATTTGATCCCTTTTAACTGAATACAATTATCAATCCTCTATTTGTAGATTTGAAGATATTTCAGTAAAATGTTGGTACGTTGTTTGGGTTTGAACTGAAATGAAAATTTTCTGGTTATAATATTCTATACTGTTTAAATCTAAATGATCACAGATTTCAACAGTTGTACATATAAAGTTATTTATCTTATATCTGAATAATTTTAGTTTGCGAATTTTATCACATCATTTTGAGTAAAACTGTAGTGATAAGCTAACCACTTGGTAAATAAAACATTTGAAAATTAACCCGATGCTCATTCAGATAAAAACTAATTTTTTGATTGAGATCATGAACCGCTTGATATCGGACCACCGTTGGAAACCTGGAAGCACTGGACGGCCGTTTCGTCCTATTGTGGGACTCAGAAGTGCGCATCCACGATCCCGCCCGCGGGACTCGAATCCAAGGCCTTCGGTCTCGCGCGCGAACGCTTGACCTACTGGACCACTGAACCAGAATCCAATGGTGTTAGTATCTAACACCAACCAATCCAGTAGGTTAAGCGTTCGCGCGCGAGACTGAAGGCTCTGGATTCGAGTCCCGCGGGCGGGATCGTGGATGCGCACTTCTGAGTCCCACAATAGGACGAAACGGCCGTCCAGTGCTTCCAGGTTTCCAACGGTGGTCCGATATCAAGCGGTTCATGATCTCAATCAAAAACCTATTAATCTCCATGGCACCTATACTGATAAAAAATAATTTATCGGTGAAAACGTTTATGAAGAGGTTTATAAGTACGAGAGTTAGTGAATTATTTGCTTATTCTTGTTCTGTTGGCTAAACTCAACTTTGAAAACAATACGGTTATATAATTCCTTCGTTCAGTAGTACACTTATATGTTTGAAGTGAGAATAGAGGATGATAGTTAGTTACTCTATGGCTTATGAAGTTACCTCTCTAAACAATTTTATTATGACTAAAGAAGGAATAGGATTAAAAATCCAATGATAACTGGTCATTGAGAAAGTACTCTTCATAATCATAAATAATGTATCTGTAATGGTTTAGAGTTAGTCCGCTGTTGATGCCAAATATTGTAATTAGTCTCTTTTTGATACATGTGCATTCTTAGTGGATTGCCTTAAAACTGCCATTAAGTCACAAGCTCTTCAAGGCAGAATTAGTGTTGTATTTATATGAACTTGATGACTGCCAGATTTCGAATTCTGAATACAATACGTTCATTAGTGCTCATCTAATTTTTCATGGTCTAAATTGCGTTGTTTATGGGATTCCTAATTCGTGCAATAATCCAAATACTTCTAATTATCACAGGTAGATACTGGCTAACTGTGGAATTCAGGATGCAAGTTTCGTCCCATTAGAGACCTGGACCCGTATTAACGTTCACACTGGGACTTAAACCTAGCAGATTTCTCTTTAACCACTCAACACATCATCCACTTAACTACAGAGTCCAGATAGCTAATAGCTTGTGTCTCGGATATGAACTATAATTCATTTGTAAGGGTTTGAATCTTCCAAATTTACTTAAAATTACTTGTAACTTAATGATAATAGTGTGGCAGCCCACTCAGAGTGCACATACTTCAATAAGAAATTGAATAACTATGGTCCTTACAATCAACAACGAGACAATTCAGACAATTAACAATACATAATATCACAACGGTTGTTTCAATAGATTTTTTGATTACTAATAGTTAAACATCTTCATGAAAACATTCACAGTTACCCTGTCTACACAGCTGATCATATTGTTCTCATGTCTTTTCAATTTCCTCATCCAGTAACAATATATTGATTAGAAATTATAAAATTCACATTCAATATATAAAAACTGGCTGGATTTCAACAAAAAATACAATCGTGGATGCGCACTGCTGAGGAGTCCCATACCAAGATGAAACGGCCGTCCAGTGCTTCCAGGTTTTCCACGGTGATCTAGCTTCAATTTACTCATGTTTTCAACCAGTGTAAATTCTAAAAATCTCCAGAAAACCCATTCTGATAATAATAATCACCTGCTCACTAGTGACTGACTTCAGGAGACACTCCTGGAGTTCTAGTGAGAAGTCGTTACCAGAGGAGTTCAATTAGGTCTGTTGTGAGATATCAACTCACTGAAGACAATGGTGTACGGTGGCGCAACTTCGTGGATTGGTTGAAGTTAGACATTAACACCAGTGGATGCCGGCTCAGTGGTCTAATGGTCAGGTGCGCGCGCGAAACCAGTAGGTCCTGGGTTCGAATCCAGCGGGGTGCGGGATTGCGGATGCGCATTGCTGAGGAGTCCCATACTAGGACGAAACGGCCATCCAGTGCTTCCAAGTTTTTCATGGTGGTTTGGCTTCAATTGACTCATGATTTCAACCAAATAATACAATCATTCATAGAACTATAATCTTTCAATAACACAAATGATTATCTAACTTTCAAAATGAACATCTTTTAAAGGATTCTTCTAAATGGATAAATTATGTTATGAGATGTTTTATTTACTCAACAACTTGAAAAATAAAAGTGAAAGACAAATATAAAGTATTTACATAAAAAAAAACATGTAAATATAATAATGATTTCTAATTACATCTTATTTACTTACAAAGATATTGTAAATCATTTTACAAAAGATCAATAGTGTACTAATTTCAATGACTTCTTAACCATTCATAATAATAATCTCAGTGATTGATATGATAAGAAAAAAAAAAGATGTCATCTCTGATCTTTTGCATCGATATATGCAGTTAAATATATGGAACATCCAATTGTTATTATTTCAAGGATTATGAACATAAATGAGAAAACTGTACCAATAGTTAGAAATTGGCCACCGAATTGATTTAATACATCAGTACAACCCTGTAAAATAAAGTAATATTATTGATTATATGATTGTAGAAAAGAATGTATAGTTACTTGGATAATATTTAATATTTCATCTTACCAAGCTTAATTGAGTGTACAATCACAAAAGATTGTTAACAACTTTAAGAATACTGTGATTATTATAGTTGATAAAGGAAGCATTACAGTGATCATTAAAAATGACAATATTTATTAGATTCATTTGATCATTCATTTAACTTTCATGCATTAGGAAAATTCAAATCGAAAACAATGAACTGATGGTACCTTTCGACATAAAGCTTCAATCATCTCATTCAGCAACAAGATCTCTGCACTTAATTTTTAATTTTAGTAAAATCGATTTTTTGGTGAGAAATGTGATTTTCGTAATACATGCACTTCATGCATTTGTTCTACTAGAGAATATTTGTAAATTATATTAGTACGTAATGCTTACTGTGACAATAGGGTAAAAATAACATAGGCCTCATCATTTATTATTATTTATTTTAACACAGATATTGGTACAAGGGGGCACCAAATACATATGCGCCACACAAATCTCATTTGATTTGTGTGAGGCCTGTGATACTGTCCGGGTGCCCAAACCGAAGCAGGTAGTTTTCTTAGAGGGCCACACCCCGAGCCTTCAACCTGAAGGTCTGATCCACAAGGCAGTGGAGCATCATAAGGAGATGCAGTCCCATGGTAGACGGTGACCAACAATTGCTTCATACGCCATTTGTTCCTTCAGGATACTAAAGCCCATGTGCACCATTGGTTTGAAATCCGGCTAAAGCGCCGGACATTCGCTTTTCGTCCTCTCATTTTCGTAAACAACAGTAGTGCCACGAGAAGGTGGTGAGTAGGACTTCCCTGACAGAGGCTTTATACGCGTGGCCATGTGAGAGCATTTCGAGAGGGAGAGCGGACTCTCCCCACCCTTAACCGTACCAGGGCATTTAGGGGTCTCATAGGTAAAGATTTTTGTGCTTGAGACTTAGAAAGCTAGTGGTGACTAAACCACCTTAAAAAAACATAAAGTCTTTCCAGTAAACTGAATCGTATAGACTACACACAATCACAGTGAAGGAAATACGGCTGACTCCACCCGTGGAGAACTGTGATCTCGATTTCCAAAATTTCGTAAAAGTAAAGAAAAAACTTATAGTTTGTAGGGGCTGCAGTAATACTGATCAGAAATAACATACTTTTCAATATTGAGAAAGTCTCATGAAAGCTACCCGAAATATAAGGGCTATTGGCGGATCTAGTTTATTGCAGTCGTAATTGTAAAGTATGTGATATATTTCTAGATAGACTTTAACCTTAGATTTCAGTTTGTACATCACAGACCCCAAACATCTGAAAACGAATCTTTTGGAAGGCTTGTTTGAATGAGCTCTAGACAATATAGTTATAAAATCTGCTCTTGTGGAACTCATGAAGGATTCGACAAGGTACAACTCCTGGTATACATTATTTTTGGTTGAGTTGATATTTCAGCATAAACCACCCCTCCCATAACTAGCTTCAGTAAAAACTTTGCGTTTTTGTGTGTGATACTGTAAACGGATCGGTCTATTACAGCACATATATGCGTGAATACGATGTATGGCATTTAAACAGTTTGTGAGTTGTACAATAAAAGCTTGGTCAAGCATTAGCTCACTTCTGCCTAAAAACTAAACGTTCACTAAGTTTAGAAAAGGCGAAGAGCATCAAAGTATTTTAAGTCGTGGGTATTTACTAAACTATACTTAAGAGCCGACAGCTAACAATTAGCTTTAGGAATATCTAGAAGGGGGCATAAAACACTTTCTACAAGTAATTCTACAGGATATTTAACATTATGTGCTTCATAAACTGAAGGATAAATAAGGGGCATATCATCCTAGCCCTGTATGAAAATGGCAAGACATCACTAGTAGAAAATTACTTAAGAAAGTCAATATATGTTTAAACAACGTATTAAAGTTATTTGCAATAAGCCCTCTTTTTGGTAACAGATATCATTTCTCTTTCAGTTGAAATTCAAGTAGGTTGACCATAAAACACTCAAACATTCTTAGCTTGTTAAATAAGCCTAACGTAATAAGCTTGACGATACTCAATAAAATAGTCCTGATGCTACTCAAGAACCAAACGCTCCCCATCGCTAAGTCTTTAATATTTTGTTGTAACCTATTTTTATATAAACCATAACCAAACAATGACTAAAAAAATGTTAGAATTAAACCTTTTGTTAGGTAATGTACTCAGTGGCATCGTGAAAATGACCACCGTAGAAGTCTAGCTAGCGCAGACACCAAGGCTTTCAAGGAGACTGTAAAAACATTCAGGTACTTGGCAAACAACTCAAGAATGCTTAAAGTTTAACATAAAAATAGAACACATTCAGTACCCACTAATTTTTAAATGTTTAAGGATAGATGGTATTAGTTAATGGACTATAAGCACTCGAAAGATTAAAAGTACCAATTTCTGCAAAATGCATCATTACGTTCTTCATAAATTGGTCTTGAGTGCCGTTTTTCATGACAGATTGTTATTTATTACAAATAATAATCAAAATAGCTTTTTATCTTAAAGACACCCTCTCGTAGAGGGTGAAAAAACAGTATTGTTCAATCGCAATCTATCTAGATTAGAGTGTGATGCGGAGTTTGCGAATTTACATGTTTTACTTACTTACGCCTGCTACTCCCAATAGAGCATAGGCAGCCGACCAGTACTCTCTAACCCACTCTGTCATGGGCCTTCCTTTCCAGTTCTATCTAATTGCTCATTATTCTTATGTCTGTCTCCATTTCTCAAAGTAATGTGTTCTTCGGTCTTATTCTCCTCCTTTGGCCTTGAGGATTTTACGTGAGGGCTTGTCTTGTGACGCAGTTGGGTGCTTTCCTCAATGTGTGTCCTATCCACTTCCAGCGCTTCTTCCTGATTTCTTCGTTAGCTTGAATTTGGTTTGTTCTCTCCCATAGTAGGTTGTTGTTGATAGTGTCTGGCCAACGAATCCGAAGTATTTTGCGTAGACAGCTGTTAATAAACACCTGTATCTTCTGAACGATGGCTTTCGTAGTTTTCTAAGTTTCCATCCCATACACTAGAACTGTGTTGACATTTGTATTGAAAACTCTGACCTTGATGTTGGCTTACAGACAGTTGTTTTGATTCCCAAATGTCCTTCAGTTGTAGATATGCTGCTGTTGCTTTTCCGATCCGCGCGTTCTCATCTGCATCAGATCCGCCGTGTTCACCAATGATGCTGCTCGGATATGTACTACACTAGTCGTCTTCTCCTGAATTTGTTGTTATGTGTGCGATAGAAGAGCCAGATCATCTGCGAAGTCTAGATCGTCCAGCTGCATCCTAGCTGTCCAGTTTATCCCATGCTTCCCTCCAGATGTTGACGTCTTCATGATCCAGTCGATCGCCAGGAGAAAGAGGAAAAGTGGGAGTAAGCAACCTTGCCTGACACCGGTCTTTACTTCGAACGAGTCTGTCAATTGTCCTTCATGCACGATTTTGCAGTTTAACGCATCATCGGAAGTCTGTGTGATATTTGCTATCTTCTCAGTTACTCCGTAGTGTCGAAGCTTCCATTGTGTTGGCCAGTCCACGCTATCAAATGCATTCTCGTAGTTAATGAAGTTGATGTAGAGTGATGAATTCCATTCAACTGATTGTTCCATAATGATCCGTAGTGTTGCGATTTGAAGATTTACATTTCTAGGGTCTAGTATTTTTTAGTGTATATAGAGATAACCTAACTGGTTGTTTTTTGTTATCAGTCCTGACATTTTCTGATCATGATAAAGCATAAAAAGTGACTGAAAACGGGAACCAATTATTAAGGTTTCTAAAAGATCTACATACAGATTGATATGACAGTTTGAGTGCCACTTTGTGACATTAATTGTATACAGACAACAATACACACTGAATGATGTTGGCGATTAACACGTGACAAGTCATTGTCCACTGAACGCATTAACTAGAATGTCCATAAGTCATCTACTTCAACAAAATGTATTTTACGGACTAGTTACCAGCCATTGTGTACTTACTCAAAACTCAGTGGTTAGTTCCTTCAGTGATAATGTATTTGCTTACTTGAGACCTGTTTGTAGTACAAAGGCCAATTGTTAACTAACATACTTTTATTTCGAAGCTCGTTGAAATCATAAAGCAGATTCACTTTATAAATCAAGGGCTGTAACCAAAATTTCACAGCTTTACTGCAGTCAAAGTAATTGTGAATAGGCAATACAAATTAGCATAGGGACAGTCAGACAGGGTCTCAAGTTTAGTATTTATGTTTGTAAGTCGCTTAACGCCTTAATAAAATACTAGAGAAAGACTATTGGTTAACCAATAGTACCACCAAGCTAACTATTTTATAAGTGATTTATACAATAACCAAATCTACTACGGAAAGGTGCATGCACTTATATACTCGTGAAAACAAACAAGTAAACAATAATAATGTAAAAACATGTTATTTTGACAATACATTTTTGTAAATGGAACCATCTTCATGACAGGACGAGGGAATTTTATCTCCATATTCTAAGTAATTAAGTGAACCACAACATTTAAGCTGTAATCAAATAAGCTTGAAATGATAATTACATCTCTATGAATTTTATCCATAATGGTGCTTATCGTTTTATTGAAATGATAACTTTCAACTGCTTTCTTCATGCTCAAATGTAGATTATCCCATAACTATAAAAGCTCATCACCAACGAAAAAACTTGCCTTTACATGATAACAAAGGCATGTTATTCCAGTTCCAAGCTGAACAATAATTATGGTGACCAAACCAACAGAAAACTGAAAATTAATCAAAATTAAATAGTTCAACTATAAAGTGTGAAGATATACCAAGCAAAGTACATCATTACTATTTAAGCAAGATCCAAAGAGACCTAGGAATCCAGAAAAAATCATAATACATCCGACTATGACAAGGCATTTTATTACTCCTTTGACAGTCGTCTCAAGTTTGCCATTGTATTTACGAACTGAACTATAAAATATACTACCAATAGTAATCAAGGCAACTGCACATCCCTAAATTATAAAATCAATCAAAGATTAGATCTTACTATGATTATCAAACTAGAAATTATCACGGTCACTTGAAGATGACGGTGGCTTATTCTTTTTTTGCAGAAACTCATTCAGTCATCAAAACGACAACTAATTTACAACTATCAAAATGGTGTAGTGAAACAGTATCAGGGTAATATAAATCTTAGTAATAGTTCATTCAAACACTGTAGACGCAGATTAATTAACAACTATATCTTACAATCAACTACTTACGTCTTTATATTCTAAAATTTCAAACCGAGTTATTGATTTTGAGGCTGACTATTTCAAGGTTTGATGGAGGTTAACCCAGGACTTTCTACCACCTTCTGTCCAGTTAGTGAGTGAGTTCTGCATACTGAAGAGCAATATCCGGTAAATAAGTTTTCTGAAGATTCCATTTCAAGCGTCTAAAATGACTCTCAACTGCTTCATATGAGTACATTCAATGAAACATAGTTCATAAAGTATAAAGAACACAATCACTTTAAAACTAAGAGCTCTAAATGATATCTCCAACAAAAGTTTTACTCTAACAAGTATCGTTTGCTTACCAGATGGACACAGAAATTACCGAGAGTTCTGTGTACAACAGTTTTCAAAGTGCTTCACGTGGATATCAGTGCTTAGGGGAGTACGTCAAGGTCCTAGGTCCTTAACTTTATACTGTATGAAAATGATCCCCCAAGTATAGTAGAGTCCCAAATGTCATTATACGCTGACGAAGTAAAAAAATTTGGAGAGAAATAACAGAAGATGCAGATACATACGCATGTCAAGCAGACCTAAATATTGTGATTAGCTGGTCTGCCTGGCTGATGCCTATCAACATGGTAAAGTGTGTCTACATGCGCTTCGGAGATACAAAGGTAGTTAGGCACAGCATGGGGGAAGTGACTGTACCAGTGGTCTGCTCTCACAAGAATCTTTGGGTGACAGTGAGTCATGACCTTAAGATCACGGTTCATTCCTGGGAGGTAGCAGCTAAGGGGTTTTGAACCCTCTGAGCTTCAAGACAGATATTCATCAAGTTGGATACTACCATGTTTACCACAGTATATACAACTTTAGTGAGAACTAAGCATGAGAACTGCATCCAGGCTGCAAGCTCCCGTTTTAAATGTGACTCGGATATCCTGTAAAAAGTATAGAGGGCGGCTAGCCACACAATTCCAGAACTCCGGAGTTTACCATACAAAGAGCGGCTTGAAAAGCTAGAGCTCTTTACTCTGCCCTATCACAGAGTAAGAGGTGATCTGAACACTAAGGAATGATTTCAACCTAATATATTCTCTCTTTTTCTTCCTACCTGGTCGTGACATCTCAGAGAGGTTTTTACACCAAGTCATCAATTCTTTGAACCTGAACCTTCAATTGACTCATTCATATGAAGGCTAGACACTCACAGAAGCATAAGCCCTAAGCCTTCTGTCCTTACTACACAAATCTGAATTTGAAATTCTAATCTTATTTAATTCTGAATACATTGTTATTTCGGGCAATTATTTTAGCCTTCAGAGGTTTATACACAGCAAAGAACCTACCAACTTTCCCAGAGACAAGATATATAGCAGTAAGCAATACCCCTATATAAATAATCTTGACGGCGTTTGATTTATACTCTAATCTTCCTTGCTGCAAAATACACTTCTCGTTAACGGCCCTTAGCCAGTCATAGCAGCCATATTTTAGTACAGCCGTGGGTACATGTCTCTCATTCTCTGCTAGCCTATTATTATCAGTCACAAGGCACTAATTAATTCGTATAAACTATAGTTATTGGCGTTATCATCAAAGTATTCAACTGGCCATAAAAAACTATCGTAAACACGATCAGTTTTAGTTTATGTTCGTTATAACTATTTAATCCAGACACTTAGTTTTTGTAATAATTTGTAAAATTTATACAGTAATACAATCATTACGCAAAAAACTTGTGTTTTGTCATTACATATGCCACAGATGTGAGTTGACAACGTCTTTGTCCGCAACATCTTTATAATCGAAAGGCACCAACCTGGTCAAATCAGAGGTCAGGGAAGAACAAGTTCAAAGATGTGCTGGAAAGCTATTGGTCTAAGCTGGGTAGTGGTTGCAAGGAATGCGTAGAACAGCCTACCCACTCGTGATCTGGTGCAAATGAATAATCGAGCGCTTTCAGATATAATCAGTAAAATTAATATGGTAAGCATCAATGTCGAGGGCTCAAATGCTTATTTGTCTTAGCCATTTATTAGTCGCCACATCTCACTCCCCTGCCAGAGTACTAGTGATGATTCTAAAACCTGATCAGTCAGAAGTTTAAAGCAAATGAACTTCCCGTGCATAAACACTCTTCTGATAGCTTGTAATGTCCATCATCGTCTGCGAATCTTTCATTTACTCAAAAAAGTGTAGAATTATGGTCAAGGTGGGCATCAGAACACTTCGTTATGCTACTAGAATGGAGGGCCTATCCCTCGACTGTATGTTTTCAATGATCAAACTGCGTAACTGATAACATTTTACGTGAAAGCTACATCAAAGTCCACGTTGACTAGTCTTGTCGTGACAGTCAGGAGCATGATGTTTAGCACCTTTGTTCAGTTCGTTTACAATCACATAGTGATTTGATGAAAAGTAAAGATTTTCTGAAAAGGGTTTCCAAAATACTTTCCATCGTATTCCGACAATAGGGATTGCGAACAAAGATGTCAATAACTCAAGTTGTAACCTCTCCGGATCAAGTCAAAATTGTCATTACCTACAGGCTCATGAGTGGTACTTATTACTACTCTGCATCCACCCCGAAGACCCTATCATGTCTATGAAAATAAGGAAGTGAATGAATACTTGAACAATACTGTTTTGGTATAAGCTTGGTTGTTTGGGGTCAACTCTTAACCAACCAACCTGAGCTGTTACAATACCACAACCATCGCAATAAAAAGAGAATACTCTGTCAGTTCCGAGAACCTACACAAAATCACCTCAGAAGTATTTGAAATTCACTCTCTAACCATGTGGAACAGACTAACATAAAACCACCATCACAGTAAGACTGTGACCCGGTTCAAAAGTCTGCTTGATGACTTTCTTTTTGAAAGTGGTTTATGTCATCAACAAAATATCAGTGTGATTATCATTGATTTATACAAATAAGGTCCGATAACTAATCCAACGGACTGTGAAACGGATTAGAACCTTCGAGATCTTGTTGGTTTGTTCGATATTCTTTTATGTCAATATCCAGTCTACTGGCTTTCCTTTCTTTTCTTGGAATCTTCGTCGTACATTGTTGTAACTTGTAGCCCGTTAATTTGCACGTGATAAGATGACCTAGGCACTGTAACAAACCAGTACAAGAAGCTTAGAGTCAACTCTCAGTGCTTGTTGGTTGATTTCGTCTGGTTCTGTCCATTTAATTTTGAAGCACAATTTCAGCTTCCACTGTATAAATCATGTACTTCAGACATACAAAGTTTATAAACAAATAAATCAGTCGTCACGCATTCCATATGTGTTTTCAGTGGCATTTCATGCGGGGCGCTGAATGGTTCGGAACTCTACGTAGCAGTTAAACAATCTATCCTTAAACGCGGAGGCCTAACCGATCGACAATGGTTAGACCAACCCCTTAATAACATCGACCTACAACACGGTTCTGTGACAGCCCTGTTGTTAAGAATGAGAGGAGTTGTCTCCCAAAGAACATTCGATGATGGCCTATTCAGACAACTTTTCTTATCCAAACTTTCTCAACAGGAGCAAGCTGTACTGGTGTCGTTTCAAAACAACGCCGTGGACGAGCAGGGTGCACCTGCCGAACGCATCATAGAAATAATGAAATTTTGTAATGCCGAGGTATTTCCAGTCAAAGAAAAACCTCAAACGACCCAGAATGACATGAAAGAGTTATGTCATACATGTACACGTTATCTTAGATTTTGTACCGACCGTAAACGGTCTGTATGGGAAGTCTTCCAGAAATTGCAGAAAACTCTGCGATTTTCCAAACTCAAAATCAACCGACACGAATAACAACTCGGGAAACTTCCAAGCCGGCACGCGTTGACGGCAACCGTGGCCGTCGAATATAGCCGTCTGTTATACGTCACAGATGTGACAAAGACAGTTCGCTACCTCGTCACACTGGTGCAGAAGTTAGCGTTCTTCCAGCAAATTCTAATGACCGGCTTCACGAATCGACTCTAAACTTACAGGCGGCAAACGGAAAACCGATCGCTACGTATGGAAAAAGGTACGTTTACCTTAACGTGGGTTTACGCAAACCCATTCACTGGATCTTCGTTGTTGCAGATGTTTCTATACCAATCATTGGTATGGACCTTCTACAACACCACAATCTGATCATCGACACGCGCAAACGGAGGCTAGTAGACGGAAACACTAATTTGTCCGTTTGCGTAACTTCCTTTACTGGTTGCAGAGTATCCCCAGTCACAGTTAAACATATGATAGACCCACTCTATCAACCACTTCTCGATAAGTACCCTGGGATACAACAAACTCAACCGAAACTACCGTGTGCAACCAGCAATGTTACACATCATATCACGACTACAGGACCACCTGTATTCTCTAAAGCACGACGACTAGCTCCTGAAAAGCTAAGGTTAGCGAAAAACGAATTCGATCACATGATGGACTTAGGAATCATACGACCGTCAAGTAGCCCATATGCATCTCCGTTGCACATGGTCCCTAAAAAGGACAGCAACGATTGGCGTCCAACTGGTGACTATCGGCGATTGAACGCGAAAACCATTACCGATCGTTACTCGTTGCCTCACATTCACGATTTGACAGCTACTTTGAAAGGTACAACTGTCTTTTCGAAAATCGACTTGGTTAAAGCGTATAACCAAATCCCTATGGCTACTGACGACATACCGAAAACAGCTATCATAACTCCCTTCGGACTCTATGAATTTTTGCGAATGCCTTTCGGTCTAAGGAATGCTGCTCAAACATTCCAAAGATTCATAGACGACGTTTTTTGAGGTCTCGACTTCGTACGTGCGTATGTTGACGACTGCCTAATCGCATGTCCGGACAGAGAATCGCATCCCAAGCATCTGGATCTTGTTTTCGACCGACCAAAAAACATGGCATTACTGTAAACGTTCAGAAATGACAAAT